AGCCTGAAAATTTGGTAGAAATTGTGGGTTTTTGGTAAAAGACCTAGAAATTTATATTTTGAATTTTTACCACGATTTTGGGCATGGAATTGAGAGAAAATCATATATTTGAGTTCGTGAGGTCATGAGTAAACTTTATCTTCGAAAAAATTCGGAATCCGGGCACGTGGGCCCGAGGGCAATTTTGTCAACTTTCCGAGCGGAGTTGGTATTTTATATAAATTAAATTGTTATGAGTATTAGGGCATATTTTCGTTGGTTTGCCCGTTATTTGGTTAGTTTTGGAGCATTGGGGCATTGATTTGAGTCGTCAGAAGGGCTTGGAAGCCGGGTTTGGAATTTCGGAGCGAGGTAAGTCTACTTTCTAACCTTGTAAGAGGGAATTGTCCCCATAGGTGAAATATTTGGTTATGTGCTTCTATTTATGGGGGCTACGTACGCACGAGGTGACAAGAGTCCATGCGTAGCTACTATTATGTTCAAATCCGGGTAGTCTAGGACCCAAAAGCATGCTATACTTGGAATATTCGTAATCTTATTGACAATTTGAATTGCTTAAATCACATCGAATTAGTAAATGAATTTTTAAAAAGATTAAACTTCATTTTCTTAAAATGTTAAAAGAGAATTGGCTTTTCTTTGGATAATTGTTCCCTGATGACTTCTTGATTGACTGTCTGTGTGTGTTAAATTTTGGAACGGGCCAAACGCCTCGGTAGATTAAATAGATGCATCTGTGGTTCACGCCATTCGACTCTCTAGTAGTGCACAATTTAAATATTTGTTGGATCAAGCCGTATGACCTCGGCATGATTTGTGTATGCTTGTAATGCTTGCTTGAGATTTACAAATTGATATTGTCTCCCTGGTTTGAGATAAATTGATAAGTAATGGATTATGAATTTGGAGACTTCTAAATATAAAAAAGGAATGTTTACTTGTTTCTTGACTTACTTGAGTTTACTGCCGTTTTTAATAAATTCGTGATTATTCACATTATTAATATATTATTATTGGACCATTAGTAAGAGTCAAAGTCAACCTCTCGTCTCTACTTCTTCGAGGTTAGACGAGATACTTACTGGGTACACGTTGTTTTCGTACTCATATTACACTTGCTGTGTATTTTGTTGCACAGATTCATGTGTGGCTAGTGGCTTAGTGGCGTAGCGGCATGGTTAATACGGTGACTTAGGTAAGATGCATCTTGGGAGATGATCCGCAGCCAGCAGAGTCTCCTTCAGAGTATTGTACTGTATTTTCATTTCTGTCTAATTGTATTCCGGACAGTTATTGTATTTTATTTCATTCCCCAGTAAATGTTCATGCACTTGTGACACCGGGTTCTGGGATGATTATGGGGTATTTGGCATTGACTTCTTAACACTTATATTTAATTCGAAATGATTATCTTTTACTGGTAAAATTGAAGGAAAATCATAGTTTTCAAAACTATTAATATGAGAATTTAATTAAGTATTTATGGTTGGCTTGCCTGACAGCGATGTTCGGCGCCATCACGATCTTTAGTGTATTTCGGATCGTGACATAGGAGTTGAAAGGGTGCGACGTACACATTTATTATTTACTGTAGGTATCTTTCAAACTATTGTCTTCTCAATTATCTGATTTAATGTAAATTATAGTACACATTGTTATTTATTGAAAGCTAAATTTACTTTTTAGTACAAAATTATTTATAAAAAATAGCGTTCAAAGAAAGGATAAAATGATCTTTTAGCTTTTGTGGGATATTTTAGTAATTCACTTTTGATTTTAGGGCTTCACTAGGGGAGACTCAATACTATTGAGGGCCTAAAGCCAAACTTCCATAAGAGGCCTTTAATTATTTTTTATAATAAAAAAAAATCATATATATTATTTATTTGAAATATAATTTTCTACCTTTTTCAGATGCAAACTTATGAATATTTATTTTATAATCAATTTCTTCTAATAGTTATTTTTCAATTGATAATATAGTTAATCCATTTTAATCTCTTGCGCCATGGTTGATCTTAAGTAAGATTTTATCAATTTAAAAAACTTCTTTCAAATTTCTAGTTTGTGATCAAGGACGACTCGAGACAACTGTTACAGGAACTGTTACCATTACTCTATATGCAATATAAGCATTTGAAAAAGAATTAAGTCTTTTTATTGGATTGAGATTATCAATTAGAGTACTATCATTTCTTCTTTTTGGAATTGTATCAAAGATTCAACTTTTTTTTCTTCTTAAGTTTTGAATAACCGAATTCATACTTTATATTTGGCATATTTAAATTTTAATAAATACTAAAAGAATAATATATGCGTACATATTAAAAATATCAAGAAAAATAAATGTAGATGAAAACTAGTACTAAAAAGTTGGAATAGAAGAACCTGATTCATTAATTTGATGTAAAAAAAATATTTGTTGCTTTCAATATACTTCTTATAGGCTTTAGCTTGATTGACGAAAATTACGGAGCAATATGATCTCTTGAAGGCACAAAGAAAAAATACAACAATAGTAATGTTTGGTGAGAACTGAGAAAGATTAAAAAAGGAAATTGAATATTGTGCAAACAAAGAAAGGAAGTGGAAAAGGTTTACATAATGTTTAATGAGAAAAAGAGTAAAGAAAAAAGAATAATCACTTGATTCCTTTCATAAATTTTGCATTTATATGTTAGGATCCCATTTTTAAGAAACAAAAATATTTTTTTTTTTACCAAAATATATAATAAGAGTAAAAATATTTAATTAAAAAAATTATAGAGTAAAAAATG